AGGCCCGGTTCCCGAGAGCGAGGCTCTTGGATTGTGCACTGCCAATGAGTCCCATACTAAGACGAAACAGCAGCCCAATGTTTCCAGGGTTTCTAATTGTGGTCTACTAATGATCGATTCATGATTTCAATAAATAAATAACAACGGTATGACTATAACGTTGTTAGTCGGGCGTGTCGACCGCTTCACTTAACTAGGGAGTCTCATCAGTGCTGATAGCCTCGTGACTGACGAAATCTCAGCACGGATACAGAAAGCTTGATTGGATTTTGCCAATTTACGCCTTTTATGGCGTAGGAGAGATATCCGTTTGATAACCAAAGGTAGAGTGTACTGTGCTGTAGTTCGCTCCGTTCTCCTATGTGGATGAGGAACATGGAAGATATTCGTGGGTTACTAGTATCCGATCACAGATGTCTTAGAAGCATTGGACGTGTATCGCGGGACACCCGAGTAAGCAATGCTGCCAATAGGAAACGATTACTAGGTAAGGATGGCAGATCAATAGATGAAGAATTGAATCTTCGTCAGTTGAGGTGGTTGGGACATGTGTTACGTATGCCGAACCACCGACTGCCTCGACGAGCTATGTTTTGTGGTGTAGGAGTAGGTTGGGAGAAAGCTAGGGGCGGCCAGACCAAAGCATGGCACTAATCCATGAAGTCACTGACAAATGGACTGAGTCATGTTGGTAGATGTAGGCTACCTGATTGGGGTCCGTGAGATGAAAGTCACCGATGGTTAGAGACCTAGAACGACATGGCTCAAAATCCTTTGCAATGGCGCAGGTGCATACACTGTTTGTGTTTCTCTCTAATCCCACTCTTCTCGATTGGTCAACACCTCTACCTTTGTCTTTCTAACCTTATCTCATTGAATTTTACTTCATGAATAATATCTTCAAATCCTAATCTTCTCCATTAGCAGTATTTCTTCTACTGTCTCTACCACTATGGGATTTGAACTGACAACTGCGTCTCTATTAATGCTTGATGAATAGTCAACAAATTTATTAGTCTTAATACATGAGCTATAATCATATTATTTTATAGAATATATTAATAGATATCTCTCATTCAACAAGCGCTAGATAAGAATGTAACTTCAATTGACCATAGAGTCATAGTGATATTGTTTATTTATATCATATAGTGAGTGAGTTTATCTTACTGAATCATTTTCAACTTCTCATTAGACTAATGATAATTTTGAATGTGAATTTACATTAAATTTAAAAGTTGTATTCAACCATATTAAGGTCAAATCATATTTCATTGAATATTTACTCGTTAAGAATATGAATAAGCTGAGTTTCCAGTCACTGATTACGGTTACACTAGGATAACCGTTTTATGTGACTTAATGATTCATATAAAAAATAACCTGAGCATGAATGCAAGTGAGCTATGTGGTCTTGAACGACATATGTATACAACTAATTCATGCATGGATAATTCAGCAGTTAATCGATATTTTATGTACAGCCTTGTGTTAAGCTCACAAACATAACGGATATCTGTATTAAATTGTCCAAGTGATTAGGTGTAGTTATAGTGCAGTTACAATTGGTTTATTTATCTAACGGTCACAGACCGTAAAACGATTTTAAATTGTAGTGATATCATACAAGTTTACTTATTTTCATTGACCTGATCAACTGACCAATATTATACCACCATTGGAAACCTGAAAGCACTCGACAGCCGTTTCTAAATAGTATGGGACTCATCAGTAATGCACATCGACGAAACCCTTGCAGGACTCGAGCCCAGGACTTTTGGTTCTGTGCACGAACGCTTAACCTCCAGTCTACCAAGCCAGTATCCAACGATGTTAATGTCTGAAATCGTTATTAGTCCTGTGTAAACAGTTTCACATGTTGAAACTGAAATATTGTCACAATAGCCAAGACATAACAAACATGACAAATGGTTTCTATTTCCTAACAGATCCATCTCGCGAAATTATGACAGACTATGATTGATAAACAAACAAAATATTCTTTTATTTTCTCAACTAAATTCTTTCACATATAGTAGAATTATTCACCAATATAAAATGGCATGTGCTGGTCGGAAAATCGTTTAATGTAAGTTGATTACCAACACTTTAAGTCATATTATACTACTACTACTACTACAGAGTACGAAAATGAACTAATACAATTATGAAACTAGCTCACAGGTTATTTATATTCTAAACTCTGACGGTTACACCATTATCGAAAATGCAAAATGGCAAGTGTCGCCGGCGAATGACCCGTGTCTATCGCAAGCAACTTTCAATTGAAAGTTGAGCGCATAAAGGATGACAAGATTCTGACAGCTGTGCAGTGGTTTCACGGCTATGGAAACAGGTATTTCCGTGTTTGGGACATAGGAATTCAGAACTACATGAAATACCTTACATACCCACCCTACTAATAGTTGAAAAAACCTTCCTGAATTATTTTGATATTTTTAAATATTTATATGTTGGCTACTGAAAACAGCATGTTATGCTTTACAGGATTATAACCCCTTTTGTATTCAGCGGAAGTGTACGGAGTTAGTTGAGATTCCACGAAACAACTCCTCAATGTTCAATGCATCACACTGCACACAACAGCACTCGGAGGGACAATTCTGTTTGGATGAAAGAAGGATCTTGCTTTTCATTTTGTCGAATGTTGTTTGTTTATAGAAATCATCAGCTCTGAATATTTTCAAGTCTGCTGAAATTGTTGTGTCGTACATGGACTATAAGGTACAAACAACCACTATTTCGAAACATATTTTATTGATATTACTAAACATAGATGGATAGTTTCGGTTTAATGTATAATTTTTCATGGAAATTATCAAACGATAAGATTCTGGAAAGGGAAGCCCAAGACAAGGTAGGTTGAAGAGCGCTGGTCGGCAGCCTATGCTACGTTGGGGGTAACAGGTGTAAGCAAGTAAGTAAAATGCTGAGAATCATCTGTTGTGCTGGTCGTCAATTATCCGTAGATTGTTGACAGAAATTCGTTGTATTAGGAAAACGATGTTCTATAGATATAAGTACTTTTAGAGACAGATCATCACCATGTCAAGTCATTCAGACTACATAGGTTAGGACTTTGTAATTTCAGGCTCACGTGCACCTCCTAGTGTGATTAAGAAAAGGTATAGTGAGATATGTTAACACATCGATTCCAGTCAACATGGAGTACTCTCTTACAATAATATATCACGTTAACAGCAATTTGCCATAGTCCATCAACCTAAGAAACCTTCAGATGACTGAAGCGATAGCTGTTCATATCAGATAGCCAGATTTTGGTGTCTAGAAGAAATATGCTCAATTATTAAACGCCTCCTTTGGCCTTAGCCAACTTCTGATCTAATTAGTAGTCAACAAACACCTTTATCATAATAATCTCATGATTGTTCATGTAACCTCTCTATCTTTGCATTTTTGTAGCGTTAATATTCTTATTCTTATTATAAAGCTCGCAAACATTTTGAGGTTTATTCAGCATCCACTCCTGTTCATGAGTTCATACCTTATTTATGTTATTCTACATACCACTTGAATCCCGATTTGTTACTGCATTTTTATGATCTCTTTCAATTCATGTTAACTACATTTATTCTGATCACTAATCTGACAATTTCATTTTACTCACAAACTTATTCAAGTGAACACTTCCTTCCTTTGCTTTGAACCTGGACACGTCTTTATGGATTGATAATCTGGAAGTTGAGTTGTGGAGCTTCAAAAGAATATTCTTCGTTCATAATGTTTTTGGTTTACCAATCAATCAATGGTTAGTGTGATCGCTGTAATTTTGAGTACATTCATACTCAGAAGCTGTAATTCTAACCAATCTACTTTGGTGTTCCCTACATACACCTTCCATCTTGAATGAGATTTAAGTGCTAAGGAGGACAGCATTTAAATCTATGTACAGTAATTCCAACAAGTCGAAGACAACAAATTTTCAACAGTATCATCAAGTTGTGAAGACATTACTCTCCATATACTAAACGTCTCCTCAGGTGCAAATCACACATAGCATCTGAAAGTCACATGACATAAGCCAAATGCAAATGTGAGTAAATTGTACTCAGTCAATCGATTATTCCCCCAATCAACGTTATCACCCAAATATTTCCATTTCCTCTTTGAATAACTGCATAAAGTTATAGATAATCAGGTCTATTCAATCGTTGATTAAACAATTGTAGTACACAAGTTTTGTTAATGATATGCGATTCATTCGGATTGACTGAACTGTTCAATTGTAATAGCGATAATTAAAAGTGAATCACACTAAACTACATTGAAAATAGTAGTTATCAGTTTTCTATTTATAATTCTCATTCAAATAAAATTTTTAAAAGAAAAACGAACAATTACTTTAGTAAACTGTCCTTCATTTAAAACTCA